AAGACGCGAATTGCCGCGCGTCTGACAGAACAACACGCAAAGAATAACCAGACGAAATGATCAGTAACAACCAGAGGAGGAGACCACTTTACATGCAATCTGGGTGGGTTTTTTTGCGCAGGATTCTCACGGTATGTAAAGGTCAAGCTTTCTAATGAAGTTTACTTTTTGTCAAATCTAGCGAGCTTTGTACCCGTAAACTACACATGGAGTAAGTCTGCAAGGTCTTAATATATGATGATTCTAGCTTTAGTGAAATTACAACTCGTTCGTTTATTATTTCTATTGATTTTAGAAACTGGAAATCACAGTATATAACTCACAAAAGATCTAATCAAAATAGTTAAAAATCAACCAGTGAAAAAACATTCCAACTATCTTTTATCAAGTCAATCCACACAGTTTCAAACCATTTTGTACAAATAACTTGATATAGCTTTACATCTATTTTGTTCAGATAACTAAGCATTGAATAGACAAATTGGGAATTTTGCTTGTTTTTGAAATTGATGTTCGAACAGTTGTTTTTGAATTATAAGCCAGGAAGAGAAAGATATATAAACGAAACTATTCAATAAAACTTCAGAAAAGTTTTCTACAACATTTTGTGGTATAGTTCTGTCCGAGTTTCGTCTGTAAGACCTGGCTCTCCGGTCCTTTTCGATAGCTCACTTTATTTCCGTTCTTAACAACAGCTGAAATTATTGTTTGCTTCTGGCTCAGTTGCGCGTCATGTGTGCCAATACAGATATGGTTTGTTCATTAATTGGTTAAGACAAAATCATGCTGTATCTGTATGTTTATTTTTACGGTATTTCTTATCCCATGATCATCTTTAAGAAGCATGTGTGACCACTAAAACCTATAATTAATTTAATATAACACAACCCCAATTTTAACACTTGAAAGCTTTCTTAGTAAAGCACCACCTAGTTTCAATATATTTAAAAGTTATTTCCTTTTAGAAAACAACTATCATAAACAAACGGTTTAAATGAAAATGTACTTATTCAATAAAAAGGAATATGGCATTCGTCACCACTCTGATACCATCTATCACTCGATCTGACAAAACAATTTTATTGAGAAGGATGTGACATAGTATAAAACGTATTTATTTATGTTTCTCAATCGATCATTTGAAAAACTAACAATTTCTTGTTGACGGATTACAAGAAAGAAAGGTTTTCTCATTCGTCGAGAGAAGGAAATCAACCTTTTCGATTGTAGCAACATCCCTTAAAATAAAAGTGAAATAGCGTACAGAAAATATGTTTCGAATTCCAACATAGCGGACTAAGAAGACTCACTGGCACAAAAGACTTCCAGCGTCACGTTTGGCTACCCGGATGAGGCAAACGTGACGCTGGAAGTCTTTCTTCTTATCTATTACCAGGAGCACCGCCGTAAAACTGAATTGAAAAAACTCAGGAGCATAAAAGCTGCGCTTTCCCCTCCATTGTGTGATGGTCCATGGATAGAGGATTTCATCAGCAGAATCTGTCTTCAATCTGCTTCAGTACGACCACTAGAGCTAAATAAATAAGTGGAAGCTTGCGATCCCCTAGAACTTCCGTTTTCCCCATTGGGGTTATAGCATGCACTCAACAAACCAACAACAACGACTAGATCCACTACAGTATGCTCCATAACATGTCAGACAGCACGAAAATAATGCTACTAAACTTTTTAATAATAGTTGATCAAACAAAACATTTCACAAACAATGGAATAGAACTTATTTCAATCCATAAAAATAAAAACCAGCAGAAACCTTTCCTCTTATAGGCCTATAGCACTAGTGTCCTGCGTCCAAAAAACTTAGAAAAGGATGATCAAGAACAGGATCAATTGATGGTTTGAACACAATACCGGCGTTGCCCGGCTGGGGGCTCATGGGGGCTCTCTGGGCGGGTTGGCACCGGATCCGGGGAGAGTATGGTGCTTTCGATAAACTGTTTGCTCTCCAAGAGGATTCTGTCAAAATGTTAGTTATGTAAGGAAAAAAATGGTTGAGTCTTTGGGGGCCTCCTTGTTGAGGTCAAACATTGAAAATATTTTTGTCCCAAAAAGGTGATCGATTTGACCATACATTTATGGGCATGGATGGCAATGTCTCAGGATCTTTTTCTTCAATCTCCTGTGATATACACACAAAGAACTTCCCCATTTTTCTTTTCACCAGTACAACTGGACTAGGATATTCGGATGTCAAGTATTGTGTAATTCCATCTTCTAGCCATTACCTCGACTCTCTTTTCTACAGTTTCTCTCTCTACCGGAGCCAATCGTCGTGGTCTATGACTAACCGGCATATCGTCTGTCAGCACCAGTCTTAGCTTCACATTTTTTGTCGGCATCTCACGGTATTGTTCTTTCAAATTATGAATCATGCTACTGAATTTCGGAAGACCAACATCTAAATCCATGATACGTCTTGATTTATGCAATAGATTTTGAATTCGTCGTCTTCTTTGTTTTTCTTGATACCCACGATTCATCCTCCTTTTTTTACGTAGAAGCAACATAGGAAATAAATGGTTTTTCTACTAACTCTAATAATAAATAAATAATAAAAATTCATTTAACAGGTACATATACCCTGTTCTCCTTGGGTTCGATATCACGTTTTTTAGCCTTGCAAAGGAGATATCACGAAAAAGAGTTCTAGAAAACGTAAAAGTGAGTATGTCCTTGGAATACTTTAAAGTAAGGCAACTTTGGAGAAATACCCTAAAATTTTGACGGAAACGTCATTGTACGAACTACAATTGAGCATTTCCAAAAATACATGGGTTTTGCCATTTCTTATTTTTTGGCTATTGTGTATTCGGAAGCGAGAATTTTTCGGCGGAAATGTTATCTTGTGTAAAATTTAATGTCGTTGGGAAATAAAGGTCAGATTTGTGCTTTAATGACACAAAAGTTGAGAAATAACGATTTTATGTAAAAAAATCTGATTTTAAACTAAAATCACAAAAACGTAATATCTCAGGAAAGAGGGAAGGTAGAAACCTCGTTCTGGTGGTACTGAACTACGTTTTATTTAGTGAATCCAATATGGCAGTTAGTTACTGTTGCAGTAACCGTAACTAAATGAAAAGCATATCAGCAAGATGTTGATTAGGAAATAAAAACATAATGTAAATCACCAACCTGAGTTCTTTGTCAGCTGATAACATAAAGCAAAGTTATTGAATTGAACATTAAAACATTGACACAAACTCAAGAGCCAGACGGATTTCCTGGAAAAAATGAACGTGCCTCGTTCATCGACAGCAGTTTTTTTTCAACGAAATGAAAATTTTTTGAGCCTTCCAGAAGCGCAATCTAAAAAGCTGGGTATGCAGCTGTAAGCTAATTGAATGTGGAACTTTTGAGGGAATTTGCAAAACCCCTGGAGTTTTTAGTTATTAACAGTTACCAAACATTTGTCACCGAAAGTTTCTCACTGAAGATGGCGCAATACCGAAACGAGTTTGAATCTCAAACAAAAAAACCGCGAGTGAAGACAGACCCAATAAGTGGTCGTGTGCAGGTTCAACATGAGTTCACCTACCACACCCAAACCCATCATCTACTTTTGTTAGATTTTTATGGCATGAGCGTGCTTTGGGGGGGGGGGGTCTGTCTTCGGCTTCGATACATCCTTTGTGGATTGTAGTTAATTAACGTTGTTATGAAATGTGAAGACCTGGATTACTTTATTATCGCCCCAATGACGGATTTAGAAGAAGAACCAATCGACTCTCCGAGATATGCGTCTCTCTCTCTCTTTCTCTCGCTATTAAACACCCATTTCCTTTATTTTAAACCTACAGCATCAGAAGTGGCAGCTTTGTTGATATAAATATAAGTATACAGACAAGTAAGGTTTACAGAAAGTTTGCTCAATGTGCTATCTGAAGAGTTTGGAGAAATGTGTCTACCACTTGGTCTGTCAAATTCAAATTGAATTAAGATTTAAACACTTTGACCCAAAAAATACCCTCAGAACGCATATGGTGCGTGGCATACCGAAATGATCCAAATTGATTTGTTCTCTCATTTCTACACTGCTCTGAATGTTTTCGTTAGGTAAACGAATTTATAATTCCAAATAACATAGAAATCACGGTAATTGGATTACAAAACTTTTAAATGAAAAATAAAACAAAATTAAGTATCTAAGTCATTCGGTTGTAGATTTACCTAAAATTTTTGTCTAAGATCGCAATTTTTATATAATATTTTTTTATTTTGCAAATCTTCTTTTCCGTTATAAAACCTTGCTAGACATGAAATTCTAAAAAAATAATGAAAAATCATAGATTTTTTGGTTTGGGTTTTATTTAAAAGTTTTATAAACGAATTAGCGTGAAGAGTACGTTGGTGGTAGGAACGGTTATGGAGTTAACATGGCGCTCATCACTGTAAGCTGATGTTCCGGGTTCGAATTCAGCGGCCTTGAATTCAACAAATGAACAATATACTTACACATGCCCTTGGGGTTGAGATGGGAAGTTGTGTCCGAGTGGATCGAAGTCACGATAGCTCAAGTCAAGATAAGCAGCGGCGTATTTAGCCGAAGATCGTGTGTTCGAATCCCGCTTGTGACACTGGCTTTTTTATCTCAACCAAAACCTTAATTAATTGAAACGTTAATTCTGATGTTACAGATTATAAACACGTTTACGGAACTAAAATAGAGTAGTATATATAAATAAATTTGGATCATTTGTATTTGGTTGAAAATGTAAATGAGTATGCTTCATGTTCTAGAAGGTAGAATCATGCAGTTTATCTATGGTAATTTTCAAAAATTTGAAGTACCATTAATTTAAGGATGCATCATAAATAATAAAACCGGCCTCTCTTTTTGTCTAGTTTGGTCGTAGTAATTTATAAAATTAATAATATTTAATAAAAAGTAATTAATACTATATTGTATTTTTATGTGAGAATTGCGGATTTTGAGCTCACCTACAAATAATCATGACGGACACATGATGGTTTAAATATTTATATTTTCATCATTTAAACATTTTGGCAGAAATATTCGATGTTTAAGGGGTGAGACCGTTTATGAATTTAACAATCCTTGTCATCATGGGGCTTTCAAAGGTGACTCGTTTTTTCTCTTCATTTGACTTTTTTGTCGGTTTCTTAAGTAGGCACGGTTTAGGTGGTTTCATCATACTGACAGCACTCGTTTGTATATTTTCCTGTGGTCGATGGCTTGTTTTAGCGAGGCTTATCCCGGACTTATCGCCGATCCCGCCGATCCGAATCATCTTCGCCTTTTTGCACAACTGCCGACCTGAGCTGGAACTGTCTTCGCTCATGGAGTCGTTTTTCCTCGAGTATCTTAGGGTGTGAGCGGCGTTTAAAAGGTCCACGTCTCTTACTTTGCTCCTCCGTTGTTTCACAGTCTTCCTCATAGTGACGAATGTGACGCGTGACGGTGAACTCTCTCCGTAACCTTTGTAATGGGCTTTAACGAAGCCGAGATAAGACGTGAATGGGAGGAGGACTTTCATTTTGAGACTTTTGGGAATGTGTTTGGACGTGGGATCGTCTTGCCTCATCTTCAACAAATAAGAGTCAGTAGGTGACGACAGCTTGTTTCGCAATTTTTTGTTGGACTTCTTGCCGTAACTGGAGTGATGTGCGAGCCGAAAGGGAATCGATTGTGATTTGAGATAGCAATGAACGTCGTTGAGCTGAAAAAATAGTTTTTCGTTTAATACTAAATAGTTAATAACAACCACAATTAATATCGAACACTTAGATTTGTTCTAAAAAACAACTTACCATTTTTTAAACGGAGAATTTAGAAATGTATGTTGGTGTTTTTCTTGACCGAAATATTTAGTGAATTTTTCGTTGGTTAGCAACAGCTTTAGAAATTTATATTAAATTTTTTATTTAAAACAAAACATATGATATATGTTTTTGCCTTTATATTAAATTGACTTTACTTACTTTTTTGTACATTCATGTATATTCATACATTATAGTTTTAGTAAATGGCCTATTGGAAAGCAACCATCCATCAATAGGTTTTAAAAATGGATTAGGTTTGCCTATAATAACTATTCACTTTATTTTTTCCTCAACCTTTCGATTGGGTGTAAAATTTTAATAAATTTGATTTTTTAAATGACACCTAAAATGAAACCCAGTGGGTTTAATTAAGTAATGTAAACCAAATATTAAAATATAATCAAAAATTTAAATATTATATAATAAATTTCAAAAACAAAAATTTTCCTTTTTAGTTACTTTTCAGGAACTTGCGTACTTACTTACTCACCTAAATCTCTTTACTGTACATTTGACCGACCAATATTAGAATATAACAGTGCTGTATGGTCGGCAATCTATGGTAAATATATACACAGTTTAGAAATTGTGTTATACAGCTTCTAAAATCAAATTTGTTTGAAACCCGCACGAATACATCCCAATTTTAAAGAAAATGTGTCTGCTATCACTTGAAAACAGAAGAATGTACCTAGATGTTATTATTGTTTATTAGCAAATGGCAGGATGGATAGTCATAAATTATTGGAATGTATAAACTTTAATGTTCTTAGGCTCAATATGAGAAACTGTAATTCATTTAATACAAATATAGCAGTGACAAACTTTATGAACATATTACAATTAATTAAGGTTTTTAGTTGGGATAAAAAAGTCAATGGAACGAGCGGATCGAGGTCACGATAACTCAAGTGGTAGAGCAGCGGCGTATCTAGCCGAAGATCGTGGGTTCGAATCCCGCTCGTGCCATTGACTTTTTTATCTCAACTAAAAACCTTAATTAATTGTAATATATTAATTGGTCAAGCGGACCACGAAATTAGTGAATTTAATGATTTAAAATGAAGTATACTTCACTAAAGCTCTCCGTGGCCATTTCATTTGTCGTCGAGAATCCAATCCGATTACACGACATTTGAAAAATGGCAAAAAGGAGGGAAAATTCAAAAGGTGGGGTTGAGATGGGAAGTTGGTGTCCGAGTGGATCGAGGTCACGATAGCTCAAGTGGTAGAGCAGCGGCGTATTTAGCCGAAGATCGTGGGTTCGAATCCCGCTCGTGCCATTGACTTTTTTATCCCAACTAAAAACCTTAATTAATTGTAACATATTAATTGGTCAAGCGGACCACGAAATTAGTGAATTTATGAACATAGTTCTTGTAACGGTTTAATGACCGAAGGGAACCCACTGGTCTTTTGGCAGCATATTAAAACTAAAAGACGTTATTGTAAATTACAGTAAGTTAATTCATTGTAATGATTATAAGTATAAAATGTATAATTGTAGGAAGTCCCTGTACATATTTTACATGTGTTTTTCAATACCTAATGTTTTCTGAACTGATTTTGAAAATGGTTTTTGCCTTTTTTCGTAAAAATCAAATGAACTTATTGAATATACAAATAAAAATGAGGGTAAACATTGACAAAAATCCTTTTTTAACTTTTTAACCAATTAAAAAAATCCTTTTCTTACTAATTGAAAAACTCATTTTTTAAATTTTACCAAATTAAACAACTCATTTTTTAACTTTTAGCAAGTTAAAAACACTGTTATAACAACGTTTGAAACTCTTTTTATTGAGCTATTAGATGGTTAATTATATTTGTTTTGTTTTTACATAGATTATAAAAATAATATGAAAGGATCGTATTAAATGAGATTAGGTGTACAACTTTTTCAATAGTTTTTGCCATTTTTTCTAAAAATTAAAGGAACTTTTGATCCTATAGGCTCTGCCTTCCTCTTCTATACCTACTCAATGATCGCGACAGCGACTGTTCAGGATAGACTCTCCGTGGACCCGGCAGTGTTCTTTTACAGAGATATGCTGAGATGGAACGCCTCGAAAAACGGTGGTTGTCATCTGAATACTGGGATCTTACATTTTGTCTCACCTCAGACCGACTTAGCGCGTTGTGTCCAGGTGGCACTGTGAGAGTGTTTTCAACACCAATGGGCTGGGTCGTCCGAGAAGCTTAAGCGAGTTAAGAACACTGAACGGTGGACCTCCAAGAGTCAGCACATGGACATTGCTTTTGGGCCAAAACCCGCGCAGGTGTCTCGTTTGTACAGGTAGTTTGCTCAGTGAATCACATCTGATCAAAGAGTGTGACCTTGGCCCTTACAAAGACCGAGCAGTTGGTACTCTGGCGATCTGTCAAAAGATGGTCTTTCCTCACATATAAAAATTTAAATACATGTGCATGTGCATATTTAATTGTATCTATATATAATGTAATGCGTAATTGATGAGTTTCTCTAAAATTTAATCTTCCAAACTTAAATTTTGTCGTATATTATCTTAGAAGTGAACATAACAAACGTTTCATTTACCAGATTTATGTCAATAGTTTGTAATCGCCGATTTAGCATTTACTAATATCTGAAATTATTTATATTTCAAAGATAATTTCAATATAAAAATAAATTAGTGAAAAGAAACTTATCAGTTAAAGACAATTCATTTTCCATATAAATAAAAAGCTAGCTAAACCGATGACGATAAAATAACAGAACAAAAAACGGTAGATGATAAAGATATGAGCAAGTTGTCTAAGGTTGACATCAAACTGAAGAAAATATTCTTCCAATATGGAAATCCCATAATTGAAAACAACGGATTGATATAAAGAAGCTTGATATTTATTCCAGTCACGGGACATGGTATTTGTAATGCAATACCGTTCGACATACCACAAGGATAATCGTTAAGAGGATTTTTTTTTAATTGTTTGAACTTTGGGCAAAATATTGTAGTGAAACAAATTGTTAATGGTCCCTTGGACAGGGATCCTGTCAACTATGCTTGATCATGTAAATCGTAGCTACTGACCCTACTATCTTTGATCAACGACATGGAGCGATCATTTCTTAAAGGAATTTCTTCCATGTAGATTAATGTTTTCGGTACAATGCTCTAGGTGACCTACTCTAACTTCTAGCACAACCGTGATATTATTATTTGATATATCAGGTAATGTTTTTTATTGGGTAAATCAACGATATTTCATATCAAACTAGTCGATATTTTATACTTTGGTTGAAAGGAATTTGTTGAAAAAATGCCTGTTTTGTTTACTCCGTCGTTAACAAATGACAATGTTTCCACGTTCAATCCTTGAATAGTAAACAAAGTCATTTTTCTTCCCCATTATTACTACCGACGAGAACGAATCTTAATAAACCAATATCAATCATGCTGCACAAACAAGTGAAAAATAAAAGTCGTTCGGTCTTCTCTAGATAAAGTAAAACCGTACATTGAAACTATTTTATAATAATAACAGTCAGTGCTTCGAAACACGTTTCTAAAGTTCAACAATTCCTAAACATTAAAAAAAAAACAGTAGTGTTCTTTTACAATTCTCAATACCACAAACTCATGATAAGAATAGATTAAATAATTAAAACCTACAGGCGGCGCCGATGGTCGCAACGGTTTAGGCGTTGACACGGCGCTCATCACTGTAAGGTGAAGGTACCGGGTTCGAATGCAGGGCCGCTCGATACTTATTTACTTACAAAAGGGCTTTTTTTTCAAAAACACCGGCACCCTGAGGGTATATATGACCTCTGCTGTTGCGAACCTTCGTAAAATAATAATAATAATAATAATTAAAACCTACACCAATTCAAACCTGCATTCGGTATTAACAATTCTTTAGAATTGATAAAACAATTAAAGAACATAAATATACCTAACAACTGTGTTACAATGTCATTTGATATTACTAATTTATTTACAAATGTCATTTTTAAAGAATGTACTAAACTAATAAAACAAAAACTTACGGAGAACATCATTAACGAATTTGTACAAAATAATAATATAGTAGACCTCTTATATGCCTGCTATTTAATTTTTGTAAATTTAATAATAATCTTTATGGTATGAAATGGTTACCAATGGGGTCTCCATTATCCACACTTTGTGCTGAATTATTCATGGATAACTTTCAAAAAAAAATTCAAATCAACTAACAAATTAATTTATCTGCCCTGTTATGGAAACGCTATATAGACGGTATTGTATATTGGGTACAGTAGAAAATCTAAAAGAATTCCTCCAAATAATTAATTCTTTAGACCTTAGTATAAGGGGGAGTCGGTGGCCGCAACGGTTTAGGCGTTGACACGGCGCTCATCACTGCAAGGTGAAGGTACCTGGTTCGAATCCAGCGGGCCCTGTATTCGAACCTGACATACTTACAAAAGTTTTTTTATCCCGACACTCCGAAGGTTCATATAATCTCGAAGTTGAATACCCTCGAAAAACACGTACACCCAAGTATAAATATTACATTGGAAATAAATAAAGATGATGATTTAAACTTTTTACACTTAAAAAATTGAACTCAACTCCAGACACTATGGTACCAGCAGATTGGATCGTAGACCATATGTTGAAACTACCATTGACACCTGCTAATTATAAAAAAAGTAAAATAAAATAAATTAAAACCGTAGCTAAAAAGAATTTCAAGAAATATTTATCGATAGTTTTCTAGTAAGAAGAATAAAAAATTAACTTTAAAAAAGTAACAATTGGACTCAGCCACCCCACCAAAAACAAATCATTACGATGCTTCTCATACATTGGCGAACAATCAGAAAAAGTGGGTAAAATTCTTAAACGACAAGGTTTTAGAGTAGTACTGTCTGTGCTTATCTCCCAAGAGGAAAGATCAGGATTATGGTAGCAACCTTTGCTCAAACCACGCTTCCTTGACTGCAGGGAGTAGATAATAATGTATTACTTTAACATTTAACTAATGCAATAATCTAATTATACACTTATATAATCTAATTATATCTAATTATGTACATATTACCCAGGTACAAAAATATT